CATTTCCCAACAGTGACATCTTTCCTCATGGCTGAAATTCCTGCTATCAGTGCCTGAGGTGCGTGGCTCAGAGTTACTACAGTCCTTTCCCCTCCCATTGCATTCATTCCTAAGGTCACCCAGTTCTTGCAGTATGATGTTAAATAACATCTTCCATTTTTATGCCATCAGTGCATCATTAACATCCCTCTACTTCAGTCACTGTCAACAAGAAATCTAAAATCAGCTTTAGTGGTCTTCCTCCATCCCAATACTTCTCCTCTCCAGGCCAATGCTTCTAGTTTCACCATGTGCCATCATCATCTCCCCTCAGGCTCCCGGCTCTCCTCAAAACCCTTGCTCTCTCTTTTTCTGAGTGTGAAGGCAGAGCAGAAGCTTAGGAAACGGAAGATTAGTGAAAAGATATGCAACTGAAATATCTTTGCTTTTATCTGCCCTTAATGGACAAAGAAAAGGGATGATTCACAGGTGGCCCATCTGGGAATTTTCCAGCTTATTTTCTTATCATGTTTCAAAACAGTTGGAGCCCCATTTTCCCTTTGCTTCAAAGTGCACATTCATTAGGCTCAACAAGCAGTCACAGGATTGTGACCCAAATGGGGAAAAATAATTGAAAATTTCCACAAAACAATGGAAATTTGGTTTTTTCCTCTCCTCTCCTCTCCTCTCCACTCCTCTCCTCTCCTCTCCTCTCCTCAACACAAACAAGCAAAACCTCTAGGGAATTTCTAAAGAAAATCTGTTGACCATTGTTAAGAAGCCTTATTTTTCAAGTAAAAATCTGAAAGGTTTTTGGTTTTTTTTAATTACTGGAGATTGCCTAGTTTTAACACCCATGGGGAAGCGATGAGGATAACAGTTCTTACATACAGATGTGTACCTCAGACAAACAGATACCCCAAATCAGGGAGGGCAAGAAGCCACTGAGAGCTGATTTCAGTCCAGGACTGCACAGAAGGTGTACCATGCGATATGCAAAGTTGTTATCCTGACGGCAGGGTGAACCCTGTGACAACACCTGTTGCTCAGGCTATGATGGAGAAAAAGCTCCGTTTTAGGGGAGGAAAAAGAATTTTGAGTAAACTAGTGTCAAAACATTGACTTCTGTATCATCTCTGTACTGCTCAGCTGTTCACTGAGCTGCTCTTTGCTTTACAGACCATTAAAATAACAGCAGAGATTTGGATGTTCATGCCACTTGAACTGCTCAGGGCACTTACGGTGGAGGGATCCCTGCCTCAGTTAATGGTGTGCATTGCAGTTAGTGGGTCTGCTTGCACGGTCCAGGCCAGCCTGATGCTGGAATACCTTTGCTGAATGGGCCTCTCAGCCTGGAAATAAGCTGTGGGAGGTTTTGGTGTACAAGTGGCTAAAGATCGACATCGCTTACAATGAGTGACACTTTAAAAACACTTCCCAGGTATTTTTGTGTAAGAAAATCATCTTTTCTCTCTCCTTTATTCAGTCTTGAAGGAAATACTGCATGTTTAGGAGAGGCCTGGCTGCAACTTTGAAGTGAATGGATTTATTCTTGTGCTTTACTTAAAAAAAGCAGTTAGAAAACTTCACATACCAAAAATTCCCAACAAGACAGCTGTCAGGGGGTGACATGTTGGATACGAAGTGGCTCTCCAGCTGGTCCCTGTCTGCATGCTGGGAAGGCATGTGGAGACATTTTTTCAATTGCTGTACTAGTTTGACATGTTCACAGTGGAAAATGATGTATCATTCTTGAGCCTTTGGTTGGTGGACACTTCAAAGTGCATTGGATCTTCGGAGAGGAGTGCCCTATTGTTAATTGTTCCTTTCACATGTACATTGGGATGAACATGGCGAGAGCAGCGAGGAACAAAAGGGCTCCGGTGGCCTCTTAGAGAAAACCCTGTGCAGCTCAACCTGAGTCTGACCTTGAAAGGGTGGGTTACTCTGGTTTTTAAATCCTGCTCGCCAGCTCTTTCCCCTCCGGCTCCCCGCCGTTACTCAGCTGCAGGGGAACGGGCTGCTGGAGCAGCGAGCACAGTGGGGCATGGGGAGCCCCTCCACCGCTGCCATGTGGTGCCCAAGGAGCTGCATCCTGGGCAAGCGTCCTTCCAGGAGGGGATGGGCACGGCTGGAGTCTAGGGGCTTAGAGAGGGCTTCTGCAATGGGTGTGTTGGAGGGGTGCAGATTTCCCTTATCCTCCAGTAAGCAGGCGAGCCATATCGACTCTCCTCAATCTAACTGGCCCACTAGCACTCAGTCTCAGAGCACAGCCCAGGGGTCTTGAGCCCCTATGATTGGATATAGTGTCTCATAACACGTGGCATGAGTTTCCCAGGCCTCTGAGGACACAGTTCATTAACATCTTGAGACAATCCTTTGCTTCCAGGCACCTGTCCCATGTTTCTCTGTCTCTCCCCCTCACCCCCTTGGGCAACCAACTAGATCTATTAAGAGATTGCACTGTGGAATGTGGTGTCCAGGTTGGGTTCAAACGCTCAAGCACAGGAGGCAGTTGTTTCCTACAGAGATGTGATCCCTTGGTGTGCATCTCTTTCAATGAGCTAGACAAAACCTCTCCCTGTAGCCTCAGCTGCAGAGAAGGATCTGTATTGGGTCACAGAGAGGCCAGGCCCTGGCTAGCGCATCCCGAAATAGAAGCTCAGGCAGGTGACTGGAAATTGCACCCCCAAATGAGCTGAATGGAGAAGACTGTGCAGAGATTTGCACGCTGGTGTGAGGCAGATGATAGAGGCTGCAAGGCAGGGCTAGCTGCCCCAGGTCTCCCAGGGAATGAACTGCTTCTGAAATAGAAACTGGAAGAATAGAGGCACATCTGCGGTGGCAAATCAGCCACTGTGTTACAGCCCACCGCGGAGCCAAAGGCTCTGTAGCACCTTCTGCTGCAGGATGTCCTGGCCCCGGGGTCTCCCTAGACCTGAAACACCCGAGCCGGGGTGCCGGCACATGTGGCTCAGGCCAGACTGGGAGAAATGATGTGAATAGGGATGGCAGCACTGGGCGCACCAGTACGGGGACACTGAAGAGTTGTTTCTGAGGTCTCTGCCCAGAGTTTGGTATAATGGCACAGTCTGGATCTTGTCCTTCTCTGAAGAAAATGACAGTAATAGAAATACAGTAAAATAACCTTAAATGTAGCTGTTTTCAACCCTCAGTTCTCAGGCCTTTGATGCCTCACATGAATAAGGTAGATTTTACTTGCAAAACGTCTTGGACTTCAGTCCTTGCTTTCCCCAGGGCATGCGTGTGTTTGACCCAGAGCTGGCAGCATCTCCCTGATGGTGGGTGTACATGTCCTGTGCCCCTCTCTGCTCTTCCCATCCCCAGGGTGCTGCAGGCTGGAGAGCAGGAGCTGTGGTGCTCCGGCCGTGAGAGACAGTAGGTCCTCAGCTGGCACACAGGCTGCCGCCAGCTCTGTGTCGTTGGTGTGTCCGGTGCACAGTGAGGGCAGCCCTTCTGCTCTCCTCTTCCTCCGGTTCTCCTGCTATTAAGTTATTGCCACCCCTTAGGGACAAGCCTGCGAGAAGGCGGAGGGCTCACATAACTCTGGATCAGTAAAGGAAGCAGCTCAATTAGCATTTCACACGCCTTTTCTTCCCTCTCTTCTTACCTTCCCTGCAGCGGGCATGCTTTCCCCTTAAAGGATTGTCCTGTTTCTGCTCCTTGCCAGCGTTGGCAGGGTGACAGTAGTCGAGTGTGCAAACTTGTGCTATTGTCCCCAGGCCAGGGGGAGTCATGGAGACCCACTAATATGACACAGGAAAATGTTTGCTGATGGCAATTCTATGGGCTTTGTCTAACTCTTTCTCCATCATGACGACTCGATTTAAGTCTCTAACTGTTTGACTACAGATGCAAGAGTACTATCCAACTCCATCCTTTTGTCCGGGTAGTTTGAATGGGTAATTCAGCTTTTGTGTAACTCAATTGAGGGGGCAAACATAAAGACAAGATTCTTGAGCGCTCAAGCTCCCTTTCCATGGATATCTGCACATCTCTTTAGAGATTTGTTCCTTTCCTACCTTTTTCTGACATCATCCTCCCCTTAAAAAAAAAAAAAAACGCTCTGATGGGGAACGGTTAAAAGTAGGCTAGCCCGGTCCCCCGTATTACATTGTCCTGTGCCAATGAAGCATAGTTAGTATCAGCCCCAGACAGCTTCGGGGAGTGCGGGCAAAAGGGTGTCTAAACTTTCCTAACTCATCCTCAGCATTTTCGCTTTGGATTGTGTCATTTTTAAAAAGAAAGGCCTTGGTATGGGTGAAGAGGATAGGGGAGAATGGTAGAAATCGCAGGGAAATGATTGTATTTATTAGCTGTCTTTCTGTGGCTGTCCCCATGGTGACAATTTGTGATGGCAAAGAATGCGAGGAGGGGAGGCTGATGCCTGATTGGGATGCTTTGTATTTGCCAAAGTGGCTTCTGATTGGCCTGGGAGAGCCCCGAACTCGCCGGAGTCGATATTCATTCAGCTTGCTCAAGTGCTTGCTAAACTGCGTCCAAACACTGGCGGGCCCCGGCTGCCTCCGACGAGGTTGGCGGTGTGTAACCTGCCTAACAAGATTAGCGGGGAAGGGGCTCTTCTACGCAGCGACGCCGCAGCCGCCAGCACCGGCGAGAAAAGCCGCCGCGCGCTGGGTGAGTGTCCGCGCTTGCTTACAGGGAGGCGGGAGCAGTCACCCCGGCTTCTTTCCACCTAAGTGCTATCTAACAAGATTAGACACCGGGCTGGCCGGCATTCGTGAGCCAGTCCCTGTGCCGGTGTGTGCCGGGGCAGCAGTGCAGGGCGGTGGGCTGTGGGCGCACGGCAGCTCTGCCGGGAGTTTGCTGGCACAGAGGTGAGCTGATGGACAACTTGTTTGGGTGGCTGACAAGTTTGACATGTCCCCCCACCCTTCCTCCATTTGCTTGGTGCTATGTGAACTGAGGCTTCCTGCCTCTAAGTCTGCCTGTCGTGTTTCGCAGGTTTGCCGAGGTTTGTCCGAAGGCGGATTATAAACTTTTCATGGGAAACTCTGCACGGCGCATCCAGTGAGATGGCATCGGACAGCGAGGTAAAAACCCTATTGAACTTCGTCAACCTGGCCTCCAGCGACATCAAAGCGGCTCTGGATAAATCGGCTCCTTGTCGCCGGTCGGTTGACCACAGAAAATACTTGCAGAAGCAGCTCAAGCGGTTTTCTCAGAAGTACTCACGGATCCCACGGTGCCACCCCAGCAAACCCCCCGAGTGCGGCTGGCGCAGGGGGACAGAGGACCGGGGCCGTGGCCCCCAGCCCGAGGCACCTGACCCCAGCCCCCACAGTGGGGCTGCCGTCGAGAAGGTGCTGCGGACAGGCGAGGCCGAGGAGGGGCTC